TACATTGAATCTATGGATTAATTTATTTGGGAAGTACTGACATCTGTTCAATACTGAGTTTTCCAATTCCTTGCTTGTTCTCCAAGCAGAGTCTCAGTGTGTGTCCCAGGCTGTCCTTTAACTCACACTCACTATGTAGTCTAGGCTGTTTTCAAATGTGTGAGTCTCCTAGTTAAGCCTTCCAAGTCCTGGGAGTACAGGTATGCACTACTGTTCTTGAAAAAAATAATGAAATGGGACTATTGCTGTATTGCTTGGGCTGGCCTCAGACTCCTGGGCCTCCCCAAAAGCTGAAGCCATAGCTCAGGCCTCTGAACCTAGCTCTGTCTTGTTTGTTTCTTTAGATCCATGAACCTTTTGGTCATCTCTACTTTTTCCATTTGGGTGAAATCTATATTCTTGTCAATTATAATTTCTGACTGATGTGCTTCAAAAACCTCTTCCTATTCCAAGATTACAAAACATAATCTGTTTTGCTATTGTTGTTTGAGACAAGGTCTCATATAGCTCAGGCTGACCTTGAACTTACTATGTAGCCAAGGATGACCTTGAACTTCTGATCTTCTTGCCTTTACCTCCAAACTGATGGGAGTACAAGCATGCACCAGCATGCACAGTTTTATGCTGTACTGGAGCTCAAACCCGGAGCTTCATGCATACTAGGCAAGCACTCTACCAACCAAGCCATGTCCTCAGATAAAACATATTCTTTTGTATTTTATTTTAAAACTTTGGAGAGTCTCATTATGTTGCCCAGGCTGGCCTCAAACTCATAATACTTCTGCCTCAGTCTCCCACGTGCTGGACTACAAGCATGTGCTACTCTGTCCAATTTAACTTTATTTATTTAGTTTTTTGAGAGGCGGCTCATGTAACTCAGGCTAGCCAAAAACTCCTAGTCTCAAGTGATCCTCCTGCTTCTGCCTCCCAAGTAGCTGTGATTACAGGCACACATCACTGTGTCTGATTATTAATACTTTCATTGCTTAGTTTTTTACGTACTTAATATTTTATTACATTTGGGATTTATTTTATGCTTGGAGATAATTATGAAAATTTTAAGAATTGTATTTTTCACTTGTATTTTTCTGGTTGATATTAATTTTGATTTTTCAGTCTTGACCTACCTTGAAGGTTAGTGGGAATCCTTAGCGATCAATTATTGTGAGAGATCAGATATATCATGTTTGTTGTAGAGTTTTTGGCATCTGGCTTAATGACTAGGTGGTAGTAAGAGTTTGGAAAATATTACTGAATGAATGCATTTTAAAATTTTATTTTTAAAAATTATGTTGATGTGTGTGTCTTGGTGTGGATGTGTATACATAAGTGCTGATGACAACAGAGGGCAGAGGTGTAGGATCCATGGAGATGGAGTTACAGGAGTTTATGGGTCACCATGTGGGTGCTAAGAACTGGACTTGGGTCCTCTGGAAGAGCAGTACACATTCTTAATCACTGAGCCATCTCTCCAGTCCTGAGTGGACTAATTTTAAAATGGATAAAACTATGTCATAACATTTTCCTTTTTCTTCTATGTCATTCATATCTATAAATCTTCCACATATTAGAACATTTTAAGCTATAAAGCTTTTTTCTGAGGGAGGAAGGGTTTATTTTGGCTTACAGTTTACAGCACATCATTCAAAGAAGTCAGGGCAGGAACTGAAGTAGAAAGCTGAAGAAGAGACCATAAAAGAATGCTGCTTGCTGACTTACTCTCAGGTGCATTCTTAGCTAGGTTTCTCTTTACTTTTTTATTTTTGTGATTCTCATATATGAGTGTAGTTTTTGCATTATTTCCATCCCTTCCAGTCTACCTCCAATTCTCCAACTCCCATTCCCAGTCCCCCACTCCTTCTCCATTTCTTGTTCCCTTTAAACAAATCATTTCATTTTTTATGTGTATGAGTGTATTGCCTGCATGTGTGTAAGTGTACTCGTGTCATGCAGTGCCCATAGTGCTCAGAAGAAGGCATCAGTTCCCCTGGAACTGGAGTTACAGATGGTTGTTAGCCGTAATGTGGGTGCTGGGTCTTCTGCAAGAGCAGTCAGTGTGCTTAATTGCTGAGCTATCTCTCCAGCCCTTTGTTCTCTTTTTTGAATATATATATATAAAACTGAGTTTATATATATAACTGAATTTATATGTATATAACTGAATTTATATATATATATAACTGAATTTATATATATATATAACTGAATTTATATATATAAC